GGGGTTACTTGGAGGGTCGGGGGGCTTAGTAACTAGGTAATAAGTAGACTTATAAGTGCCCTAAACGGGACACTAATTGGGGTTATGACACTTATAAGTCTATAATCTATAATGTAACTACTTACTAAGTTCCCCGACCCTCCAAGGATAAGGGCATGGGAGTGTAGGGATCAGGATTCTGGGCTATGGTTTTATGGTTCACCCTAAACCCTCAATGCCGCAAAAACTGTAATCACCCCCAAAACCCTACAGGCCCGAAATCCCGACCCCCCCCTTCACTTTTAGTTCGTGTGGGAAAAGTCCCAGTTCGAATCCGATGGTCGTTGAAGTTACTGCTAAGGCTAAGCTTCAGGGCTTCGGGTGTGGGTTTCAAGTTTAGGGGATAGTGGCAAGGTTGCTAACCTTGCTAGCTGTTTGTTGTTTCGGGTTAGGGCTAAGACCCGAGGTTTTGTGTAGGATATACTATAGGAAGGTTTAGGGCGCCCCCCCTGAAACCAATCGTAAGGAACAAGCAGCTTTTGTGCCAATGCTATGAACGACGACTCTGTGAAGTGGATCCGAGGCGCGGTGCCTAAACCCGAAACCCGAAACCCTAAACTCTAAACCCTAAACCCTTGATCCTAAATCCTAAACAGCCTAAACACCCTAAAACCCTAAACTGCTTCTAAGAAACCGCGAAGCTTGAAAGTCTCCCCCTTGCGGCCTCGGACGCGTCATCACCGGAGAGAGAACCTGCAGTCTGATTTGATCTCTTCATGGGGTTTAGGGTTCAGGGGTTTAGGATTAAGGGGTGATTAAGGGGTTGAGGGTTGAGGAGTTTAGGGGTTTAGGGGTTTAGGGTTTAGGGGTTTAGGTTTAAGGGGTTTAGCGTTTAGGGGTTTAGGGGTTTAGGGTTTAGGGTTTAGGGGTTGAGGATTAAGGGGTTTAGGGTTTAGGGGTTAAGGGGTTTAGGGTTTAGGGGTTTAGGGTTTCGGGTGTTGGGGTTTTTGGTTTAGGGGTTTGGGTTTAAGGTTTAGGGTTGGAGGGTATGGGGACCTAGTACAGAAGTAGATTTATGGGTACCTTAAACAGGTTCCTAATTGGGGTCATGATACATGCAATCTATAAACAAACTACCGACTGAGTCACCCGACCCTCCAAGTGCCCCCATGTCCAACTCTCAGCAACTTAGTTGCTGAGTTCAGAAGCCCCCCAAAAGTGTACACTTTCAGTTCGAAAAGGAATAATACGGTGATGATCTAAATCCTGCACTTCCCAAAATAAGGAATATACCATAATTTCCATAGTTTAGGGTCGTACATGTTTAGGTTATAAAGGCGTTCATGAGGACTTAAACCCTGAACCCCCTACACCCTAAACTCTAAGCCCTAAACTCGAAGCCCCTAAACCCTAAACCCCTTAACCCCAAACCCTAAACCCTAAACTCAGGTGGCCCTTAGCCCTAAACAGGGGGGACTCCCGAAACCATTTGTCTGACCCCCTTCTGCTCATTTAGTCTCTTGGCACCATAGAACAGCTAGATTCCTTCAATTCCCTCGAAATCTAAACAGCCCTAGCCCTAAACCCTAAACAGCTCTTACTTGCTGAGGTCATATAAGCCTAAAAAGGAGTCAACTAGCAGTTCTACTTGGGTTCATCTTGTACCAAAGAGTGGCAGTGTACTCCTTCAGCTGCTACGAACTGTCGACCTGTGGATCTCACAGCGTGAACCCCAGCACGGCGAAGGCCCCAAAGGCTTCAACCCAAAACCGCAAACCCGTAAACAAAAGACTGTCTGGTGCTTAGTAGGGAATGGGGGAATGGGTTATAGGGACTACTATAAGGGACCTTAAGGGACCATCATAGGGATCTATTCCCCCATTCCCTACTAAGCACCTGACAGAAGAGCCAAAATCTCTTCGATGTCCAGGTGCTCGAGCTTGTGTGGCTGAGAGAAGTGAGCCACTCAGCGGCGCCTCACTTTAGAAGGCTCAATTTGGCTGTTTAGGATTTGGGGGTTTGGCGCCGTGGGAAATCCGCTTCCCTTTATACGAGCAATAATCGGAATCCTGATCTATGGCCCTAAAGGCTTGTTGGTTTGTTTGCTCCCCTGAACACTAAACCCTACTACCTAAGCCCTAACTTCGACAAACCCCTGAACCACCGAATTCCCAAATCCTAAACACCAAGTGCCTAAGTCCTAAGCCGCAGACCCCTAAACCCTACTTTTAGGGTCGGGGGACTTAGTAAGTAGGTAATAAGTAGACTTACAAGTAACCTAAAAGGGACTCTAATTGGGGCTATGATACTTGTTTAAGTCTATAATAACTACTTACTAAGTCCTCCGACCCTCCAAGTAAATCCCAAACCTTCCAAACTGTGCACCCAGGGCCTTGAAACCACGGGACGCCCAGCCCCGCTTCTCACGCTCCTTACCCTCACGTAGTTTCGTGGGATTTTACATGGGTTTCGGCACCACCCTAAACCCTAAACCCTAAACCCTAAACCCTAAACCCTAAACCCTAAAACCCCAAACCCCTAAACCCTAAACCCTTGTGTCTAAGGGATTTCGTAGGGTTTTGAGTGCTTCTGTTGGGCTCGGGGGGTTTGCGAGAGGATCCGGAGACCTTCGGGTCTTGTGTCAGAGGGTCCAATGTACCTATATAGTAGAATGTAGGGTTTAGGGTTTAGGGTTTAGGGTTTAGGGTTTAGGGTTTGTATATTAGGAATTGCTATTATGATTTGGGGAAGTATCCCCCATAGCAGTACACAGGACCCTTTGGGTGTGTCATTGGCAAGATCTCCAAAACCCTACGGGGCCGCATCAAAACGACGTAAACAACCTTACCCTAAACCCTAAACCCTAAAATCCTAAACCCTAAACCCAAAACCCTAAACCCTAAACCCTAAACCCTAAATCCTAAACCCTAAATCCTAAAACATACAACAAAAAGACAAAAAGGACAGCCGGGCTATGAGCTCCTATGTCAACAGTATCCCGAACCCCTGTCCAACCTGTACTGGGTCCGGACTTAGTGTTGATGAGATAAGTCCCTGCATTGCCCATGAAAAGGAATATACCATAATTCCCATAGTTTAGGGTCCTTAAGGAAATTAAGAGTATTTTTTTTATCATCAGCCGTAGTAAGTAGTTATTTTTATAGACTTATAAGTATCATAACTCCAATTAAGAGTCCATTTTACGATAGTCATAAATCTATTTATTACTTACTTACTAAGTCCCCCGACCCTCCAAGTAGAAGCCTCTATCGCGAGGCTTAGAGTTTCAGCTGCATAAGACTTTAGACCTCCAACCTGGGTTTAGGGTTTAGGGGTTTAGGGTTTAGGGAGGGGTTTAGGCGTTTAGGGTTTAAGGGTTTAGGGTTTAGGGGGTTTAGGGTTTGGGAGGTTTAGGTTTTGGGGAGGGGTTTAGGGGTTTAGGGTGTAGGGGTTTAGGGTTTAGGGGGTAGGGTTTAGGGTTGAGGGTTCATGGTACCCAACTTGTTTCTCCTAGCACGAACCCTGACAGGATCTAAACAAAGGGACCCGTTCCAAGCTGCTATCAAAAAGGCTCCTGCAACTACATGGCATAAGATGGGCCTAGTTCAGGGGTTCTGCTGTCTAATGTCAGGGCCTTAGTAATCGGAAAAGGGTTTT